GAGTTGAATGTTTAACTTCCTTAAGGGAAGTCAGTGTAATGTAATGCAAAGCAGTTATTAGTGTATACAGTAGAACTCCAGTATCCCCTGGATCAGTATCCACTGATTCACTTATCCAAGGTCACTTGTAGTCAGTGAAACCAGACCACCAGAAGCTGTTTAAATTCTGCAGATCCATTACTCAGATCCAGTCCAGATCTTCGGAACGCCTGGAGCAAAGTTTCACAGAGAATCTATGAGTAATTGCTAGCTTGGTAGAAGGGGAAAATTTCTGACAGAAAAAAAGTTCCCCTTTCCATACAAGCAAGAAATTAATGAATTAAAGTTTAAAAGCATATTTAGGAAAAGGAAAAGGTTACCCTTGACAATTTTTGTCCAGTCGTGTTTGACTCTAGGGGGCGGTGCTCATCCCTGTTTCCAAGCCATAGAGCCAGCATTTTGTCTGAAGATAATCTTCCGTGGTCACATGGCCAGTGCGACTTAGACACAGAACGCTGTTACCTTCCCACTGAGGTGGTCCCTATTTATCTACTCGCATAATAATCCTCCCTACCTCAAGGGGTGGCAGCAGATGTAGGTCATTTGGTGATATTGGATTGTCACCTGAATTAATTCAAACCAGAATCAGCTATGTAGTGGCTTAAAGATAGGGGCAATGCAGCAGTTTCTCCATTGAATGCATTCTACTCCTAGGTTTTGTTAAATTAACAGATGTTCAGGCTGGGCTACACGTGTTTCCTGTAATGTTGCTGTGTTACAGACTGTAATGTTAATGGTGTTCCAGGCAGGGAAATGCAGACTGTCGGACTGTCACCCTGCTTAGTCTCCTGTTTCAGAACACCCACCAATTAAAAAAGAAACAGACTTCATTTTTGGATGTACATTGACATTTAGCATTCTTGACCTGTTCTGCTTCTGGTGCTGTGTCCCCTGTGGTTTTCTAATTGTTCACCATTTTTCTCTCTTGTTCACAAATGTTTCTGTCTTTTCCAACGGAAGCCTACTGGCCCATGTCTCTGAGCCCAAACCCTGTTTTCTTTTGCTGGTCTCTGAAAAAGATGTGGCTGGTGCAGTCTTCATTTTAGACTTTATCTTCGATAGGAGACAGGAAAGTGAATGATTACATGAAATGAGGGCTCCAGCTGAGTGGCTCCAGAGAACTTGAACCAACCCTGCTTGCAGAAAGAGTTTGCAGTGAAATCATCATAATTTAATAGAAATCACAGCTGGAAAGAACTCTTATTATTGAGCAGAATGAGCTTCTTCATTGGCTCTACTCTCAAAAACAAACAAACAAAAAGATTTTATTTTAGCTTAGCTTAGCTGCTGTAATTAAGGGGTACCTTACACTAATTCCATTACTGTGAAGATTGTTGAACTAGATAGTGGTTCCTTGCAGCTCTCACTGGGGCAATATTCATGAAAGAGACAATAAATACGTTTTGGAAGTAGTGGTCGCGGAAGGGAATGGGAGGCAAGGGAAACTAAAACTAAAGTTCTTGGCTACATAAATGGATTTGACTAGGAAACCGTGATCTTCTGCCATAGCAATCCTAAAATGACATGTAACAAAACATCATTCTAGATCAGACTGACCTGGTACAATATATAATTACAGTCAACTTATTTGTCAAATACAATGGTGCCTCGCTAGACGATTGCCTTGTGGGACGAAAAACTCACAAATCAATTGTTTTTTGCGATCACTATGGTGCCTCGCAATACTTTTTTTCTATGACCATGCTTCGCAAGACTTTTTTTTAGACCGATGCTTCGCAAGACTTTTTTTTTTAGACCAATGCTTCTCAAGACTTTTTTTTTGAGACCGATGCATAGGGGACCTCGCAGGACGATTTTTTCACAAGACGACCGTTTTCGCTGAACGAATTAAAATTGTCTTGCGAGGCACCACTGTACCAGTCCTTATGTCACTAAAACTGTGTTATTCTCACACAGGAGGGATCTGTCAACAGGCCTGGAAAAATCCCAAAGTTTGCAGAAGTGTCTTCCCCCCAAAGGAAAAACAAACAAATGCACACAGAGACAGACACTCACACACTAAGTGAAAAGACTGAGTATTCTCAGTGAGTGCAGAATACAGATTGAATGTTGGGAAAGCATCAGTGGGAAGGGGAGAGTGGAATGGAGTATAACTGGAAGAGTGTCTATTTGTCTGGAATCCTAAACAAGAGGTCCCAATTCTGGCTAATTATCGATGGCTTGGGTTCTGTGTACAAGGAGAGATATATAGGAAGTGGATTTTTACCCATGAAAGCTGATATTGAATTAAATATGTCCATCTTTAATGTGGCTAAATGTATTCATCTCCCATCTTCCTTCTCCCCCTTTAATTTTGCCATGATGTAATTTCAGCCAATATCCAGCACTCAGGACTGGAGATTTCACAGTTCATTTTATTTATCCACAATACAGGATGAAACATGAGAAAGAAATGATTCTGCTCTGAGACCCAGGTTCACACCAGGTGTTTTTGGCACTTTTTCTGTCCTAGCTTTATACGTTAGACAAAACTCATGTCCGTTTTGCATTTCAATATACTCCTTAAGTATGCAAACATGTGAGGGTTCTAAAGGTGGCTCTTCTTTCTCTCCAAATAAATTAGCAGACGTGCGAGGTTTGGAATTTGGAGTAACGTTTACTGTGTTATTTAACAGAAAACCAGTGTCAGCAGAAGCATTCCAAGTTTTGTAACCTCCTAACAATGGGTCAGAGAGGGGTTTCCAACTTTCTTCTTCAAAGGGGTCTCCCCCAACAGTGTCCCAAGGATCCAGCCAGTCATCCGGTGGATCAGAGTTCAGTAGTAGTCCAGGTTCTCCCTCCAATAGGGGTACTGTGTCCTCGTCCCGGACGTCCACACAGGCGAAGTCCTTGGAGGGTGTAAAGGTCTGCCACGGTCTGACAGGTACCCCCTCATCTGGGTCTCCATCACCTTCCATTCAATTCTTTCCCTCTTTTCTCTCTCTACATGCTCCTTTTCCTCCCTCAATTTCCTCTTCCACTCTTTAGCCTCCGTCTCACCCCAAGAAGACGGTCTCTGGGTCAATTCTCTTCGCCTTCTATAGTCTGCCTCCTCTTTTGGTATTTGGAGCCTTTCCCACTTCCCTGTCCGTGGGTCTTGCATCCAAACTCATTCCCAACCTGGAGGCAGTTTCCCTTCTCCCCCTTTTATATCATCAAACCTTGCCTCCACCTCTACCCAGGGTTTTCATTCCTTTCCCGCCAAGGTTTTCCTGCTTTCCTCAACCATCAACTTTCACACTTCTTCCTCCACTGGTATGGGGTCTGTCTCTGTAGCCGCTGTCTTTTGAGAAGGGGCCGTGGGTGAAGTGAGAATAGGTGTTTTCTCGCCTCCATCCTCAGAGTGAAGTTTGTACCTCTGTCTCTACAGAGGGGGGACAAGACAGCACTCCAGTGAGAATAGGTGTTTTCTCACCTCCATCCTCACAAAACACACTACTGCATTAGGGCAGTTTGATGGGTGGTTTGTGAATGTGAAGAACAGGCATGTTCAAGCTGGTCCCAGACTGGGTTTCTGCTTAGTTTTATAAATGTGGCTTGCAATTGTCCCCTTTACTGTGACAGATGCCATGTAGAGATGTCATCATACTTATTAGTCCAGCAATCCATTTCATTCTAAAGAATATATTCAAATAATTTTTTAAATCCTTTGTATGTACATTCAGGTATACATAAACTGACATATCTACATTCAAGATATACATTGACTATGGAGGAAATTGCAGGGAACTGGTCTAGTATACGCAGAGAAATAAACAGACTGGGCTGAGAGGAAGGGCATGGAGAGATTCTTGACATCGGTATACTATAGCCAACACCTAGAAAAGAAATACATTATCTGGGAATCTTGGAATTCATAATGGGGAGGGGGGGCAGAATCATAAGTTGTGCAATTTTGGGTTATTGACAGTTCTTTAAGGATTATATTAATGCTTTTCAAATAGTTGATTTTTGAAGGATCTTTAAGCTTTCTTATAAGTTTGTTAACCAGTGTTAACCAGTGCACTAAAGTAATTTGCAAAGGGGTCTACTTGGGGTTCTCTTCGATGTCACCATCTCTTATTTGTGTTTATAGACAGAATTAAATCTTGTCATGAGCTGTGGGAGTGAGATCTCTGAAGAATATATAGCATCTTCTTTTATCTGAAATGTTTGACTCGGTTTCCTTCCTAGTCAAATTTTTCTGGGTAGGCCATGTGGATTTGGCTGGTTCTGGCATCTGCAATCAGATCTTTGGTATAGGAGTCCCAATAATTTTGAAAATACTGAGTAACCTTAGCTAATACCCATTAACTTGTTTAATTGTGTGTGTGTGTGTTTTTGAACAATATAAATCTTAAATGTCACATCTGCTGTTAAGAGACTTAAACAGGCCAACTATATGATCGAGGTTTTCCTTGCATTAACATTGCCTGGAAGAAGGCAAGGGAAAGCTTATTTCAAGTAGAATGCCTGGATTAAACCTAGCAGAAGCCACTGAAATATATTTGCAAAACAAAGTTGGCTTTGTACCAATTATGTGTCTTTTATGAAGCATATCTTACACTCTGGATAATTATTTTTCCCAGTTGGTTCCTTCAAGTTGTATCATGTACAATCTTGTGCTGTGGAAATGAAATGGTTTATATGCTGGTTAGGAAGCTATTAATTTGTAATCACAGGTAGTCTTGTTAAGAAAGAGAAAAACATGATTAAAAGCAGTTTAGGAAACAGGAGTGAAGAGGCTAATGATCTCACACTGTTTTCTGGTAGCAATGACACAGCATCACTGTTTCAAAGGGGTAAGTCTATATTAATGCATTAAAGCCATTAATAACAAAAAATGATACATGCAGTGCTGAGAATAACATTCAGAAGAAATGTGCAGAAGCAGCATTGCAGGAAAAGTGGTATTTTTAAAGCCTTGCTAGCTTTTGTTATTAAGGCTTCTCCTTTGACTTCTTCCCTTTAATTTTTAATAGGCACTCAAGCTTTCTCAGGAAGTAACAGAAAACAGTGCACTAGAGACAAACACTGTGAAACGACACCTGCTTCCTTTCTGGACCCATCATCCAAGAAAGAGTTAACGGTGGAAGGTAGGATTTCTTCAGAAGACAAACATCTACCCAAAGACACTTCAAAGTCCAAAGAGAGTCGGGCCCAAAGCTTTCTAAAACCAAAAAACTCTATTTCTGATTATGGGTGTCATTCCAAGTTTTTATCAAACACAGCACTGAATGAAAACGAAATCCACAAGAAAGATCCATTCCCTAAAGGTAAGCTATACCTTTATATTAGGCTACTATAATGTGTTCTTTGTGGGGCTTCCTGTGAAAAGTGCTTGGAAGCTGAAGCCAGTATAAAATGAAGCAGCCAGACTGTTATCTGATGCATACTTTAGAGAGCATGTAACAGCGGGCGTGAACCAATTCCGGTGGCTTCTGGTTTGTTTCCAAGCTCACTTCGAGTTGTTTTATAAAGCCCTAAATGGCTTGGCACCAGAATGTATGCCGCTTCCCTTTTCCATCTGCCTGGCCTCCGAACTATTCAGCATGAGCCCTGTTGTATGTCTCATTTGGTGGACGCATGAAGCAGGGCCTTCTTGGAGTGGCACCTCAATTCTGCAACTTCCTCTCAAAGGAAGTTAAGTTAGCTCCATAGAAAATCATATTTAAATCATTTTGATTGATTGTAAATTGCTTTTGGAATTCTGCTGGGCAGAATAGTCTCCAACATGGGAATCAATAGTTTATCCTTTTTTTTGCACTTCTCAATAAACCTTGGCCACCAGGGTCCCTTGCTGTTACTTGCTTTCTCTTCAACTTCTTTTCTATCCACATTCATTCCTGTTCAGCAAAATTGTTGTCCCTTAGGAAATTCAGTTCACTGTTCTCTGTTTTTCCCTGATAGTTCATGTAATCATTCTTGAGTTGTGCTGGTAACTAAACCCCAGACAAAAGGTTTGTGTATTTGGGGGATGTGGGGATGGGGGTTGACTTGTGTGTGTGTGTGGGCAGCTGGCTGTGCATGTTTCTTTGGCCCTCAAAAATGTTGGAAATATCCAGTGTGGCCCTCAGGGTCAAATGTTTGGAGATCCCTGCTCTTTGCAGTGAAACCCTGCCCCTCAGTGACCATCTTGGTTGAGGCGGGGTGCATCTCAAGCCTCTCCTGCACCTCATCCCCTACCAAGATATCAGATAGGCAGGTATGTGTTGATTTTGGTCCTTGTTCACAGAGGTACAAAATATCTCTAAGAAGGATGTTAGTGATATGCTCCAAAATTCCCTGTTCAAGGAAACAAACCTCCATGGGAAGATCTCTGCTCATATCATGTGCTTTAGGCCTGTGTCAGACTGGAACACTAATTAAGACTGACAAATTTAATTTGCAAGCCTAATGTTCTAAGCTCTGGGAAGGAACAATATGGAAGTTTTTAACATGACACATGGGAAAAGGTATTTTTGTTTACTGCAACTGATGAGTAGAAACCAAAGACTAAAATAGTTTTTCTTCCCCAATACTCCAAACGTCGTGTATGGTAGCAGAGGTTTATTTTTGCTTGTGTAAGAGTATCTCAGTGTTCTGAATTCAATTTGCTAATCTGGATTAATCCTGCATTTTCAACAAGAGTTTTGTAAACCTGTGTTTGCATTTTAGATACAACCTCCTCTTCAGGGTTATAAATTATGCAAGAAATATTGATCATGAAATTGCAATCAAGCATGGTTATAAATAAGAATAACACTTTCAGAAGACCTTGGTAGATGGATTACATTTATAACGAACAGAAGTTATATTTTAGCATTTTGTTTATAAGTTTCTCATCTGATAACAATAGTGCAAATATATACATCAATACCATAAAAAAGCTTTTTAAGAACTGTAAAATTGAGGGAAGAAACCCTCTGAGGAACAATACAATATGTAATCATTTTCTATTATCTTCCATCATCAGTGCAGCAAATTTAAATTGGCTCAAAGCATTATGAGCAATTGAGAGAAGATTTAGTCTACAGACTACAAATGTGAACCACAACAAAACTTTCCGATCTGAATCTTTCTCTGCCAATTTTTCCTTCACTAATTTGTTTTAACCAATCCACTATCCTTCAGTTGTCCCTCTCTACCCTCCTAAATTTGTGTCATAAAGGTACTAAAAATAATACTGGTATAAAACTGTTAATCTGTTTTACAGATTGGTTATAAAGATTTTTGAGATTTTGTGATGATTTTGATAATCATATTCTCTCTATAGTATACTCAGATACGACCAAGTATGTGATTCAACATGCTGCCCCATTGCTTTTTGTGCTATCTATGGCAAATAGATAAGGACATTGTTCATTAACTGTAGCTTCCTCTTTTTTATCTGAACAGTTTAACATCTGTTAACAGGTTAACAGCTTCAGAACAAACCAGGATATAAAAGCCATTTTCAAACCATGGTTAAATATGCTGGTTTTTTTTTTTTCTGGAGCTGTTGACCATAGTTCTCTGGTTCAAATGAAACAGAGGATTATAGTTAACTGCAGTTAATGGACTATTTAACTGTTTGCTCATGGTATGATAGATGTGGTCTCTGTGTATAGCCACAAAGTCTGACATCTCATGTCAAACATTATTGTTTAAACATTATTAACCTATGTGTTGTACTGTATAATTGTCAAAGCAAGCCATTTAACTGTTAAAATCCTGATTATTAATGAGGTTAACATCTATTTTTTCCCATGAAAAGCTACACATTGGGGACTCTGAAAGACATGATGCTAAACAAAGGCAACTGTTTTATCACTAGACATATTTAAGGCCTTTGATTATGTGGAATGGCTGACATGAAAGCTACTTATAAAGGGTTGGGGATTTGGTAAAAGATTTATAGGGGTTATACACCAATTATATTCAGATAATACTTCAGAAATAATAGCTAATAATGGTTTAACAGAGCAGATTTTTCTAGGCCGAGGTACAAGACAAGGCTGTCCACTTTCACCAATATTGTTTTGTATGGTTATAGAACTATTAGCCAAAGGAATAAGAAATGATAAATTAATTAAAATATTAGGAAAAAAATGATACAATAAAGATTAATTTATTTGCTGATGACTATTGACCATTAAAAACCATTAGAAAGTATGGATAATATTAAAAATCATTTTAAAAAATACTCCTGCATTAACTGGCAAATAACGATGTTTAATTATAATAAACATGAACAAGAAATGTTTGTAAATAAATATGGTTTTAAAATGTGTAATTATATTAAATATGTAGGTATAAATATAAAGTGACTCAAAAATTAAAGGAGCAAAGTATTAATAAATTAAAAAATGATATTAAAGATAAATTGCAGGAGTATTCTAAATTGAAACTATCATGGTTTGGGAAAATTGCCATGATCAAAATGAAAATATTACCAAAAATTACTTTTTTATTCAGGATGCTTCCAGTACAGTTAGAAGAAGATTTTAAGTATTGGCAGGGATTATTTAATGGATTTTGTAATTAAGGTAAAAAATGTAGAATAATAAATAAAAGATAATTGGTATAAGGCTCAAAAAATTGAGGTTTAGGTATTCCTAATATAAAAAATTATTATATAGCGAGTCAGTTACGATTTATTGATGATATTATATACAACAAAGGAATGTTAATTTGGTGGGGTATGGAATCCTCAGAAATAAATGGGGATGTTGAAAATATTTTTAATGTAGTAAAAAGAAATATAAAGATTCAGGTGAACCACCCTTTTTTAAGAAACATGTTAAATGTCTGGAACAGATATAAAAAGAAGTTATGTCCCTTTACTTCACCACTAAAATTAGTTACTGAAATAGAAAATTTCTCAGCAAAATTGAAGGGTTTGGCTGATTTGTTTAAGGATAAAAAAGTTGCCAGATTGAAGGATTGGATGATTAAAATGAGATTGAAGGATCAGATTATAGTTAAACTTCAAACTAATAAATTATCATGGTATAATGCATTTGCTTCTGTCATACTATCGTAGCACCATTGAGAGTGTCCTAACCTATGGCATTCTGGCATGGTTTGGGAGTAGCTCTGTAGCGGACAAAAAAGCTCTACAGAGAACCATTAAAATTGCCCAGAATATCATCTTAATCTTGGAACAAGAGGAAAAAGAAGCAGAAACAGAAGGTTTGAAATCAATTTGAAAAAATGATTTAAAGACAGAAATTAAAACAGAAGATTGAATAAAAATTTGGAGGAGGAGAGTTTTAAGATTAATGTCGGTAAGAATAAAGGAATTTTTAAAAAATATTAGTTTAAGGTGGTATATGACTCAGGTGAAATTGAATATAATAAATTCAGACTATTCTAAGGCTTGTTGGAAATGTGATGAAGAAATTGGCACGTATTATCCTGTGTGGTGGAAGTGTAAATGGATTCAGAAATTTTTGAGACTGATTTTTAAGGAAATATGTGATATACAGTGGTGCCTCCCTTAATGATTGTCCCGCTCTACGACAAAATCGCTTGACAATTAGGTTTTTGTGATCGCTTTTGGGATCGCAGAACAATGTTTTAAATGGGTTTTTTTCGTTTAACGATGATCAGTTCCCTGCTTCGGGAACCAATTTTCGCTTTACGATGATCAAAAACAGCTGATTGTTGGATTTCAAAATGGCTACCGGCTGCTTAAAATGGCTCCCCGCTGTGTTTTTGGACAGATTCCTCGCTTTACAGGCAGTGAAAATGGCCGCCCTAGGGAGGATCTTTGCTGGACGGTGAGTTTTCAGCCTATTGGAACGCATTGAGGGGTGTTCACTGCATTTCAATGGGCTTTTAAATTTCGCTTTACGATGTTTTCACTCTACAGTGATTTCGCTGGAACGAATTAACATCGTTAAGCGAGGCACCACTGTATTTGGAAAAGATATTGAATTCAATTCTAAAATTGCTTTGTTGTCAATTTTCAATAAGATAGAACTTGATTATTGTTCAAAGGAATTGATTTCCAATTTTATGTCAAGTGCTAGAATATTAATACAGTGGTGCCCCGCTTGACGATGATAATCCATTCCAGGAAAATCGCTGTTAAGTGAAATCGTTGTCAAGTGAGAAAAAAATCCCATTGGAATTCATTGAAAACCGGTCAATGTGTTCCAATGGGGAAATACCTCATCATCCAGCGAAGATTGCCCATAGAGACCCGCCGATCAGCTGTTTAAAAATGCTGTCTTCCGAAGCAGGGGTCTGGAAAGCAGCCATTTTGAGAAGGGAGGGAAGCCATTTTACGAAGGGCAGCCATTTTGCGGAGCCGGAAAAATCGTCATTTAGCGAACAAACGGTTCGCGAAGCAGGCTCCTAATTGACATCAAGCGAAAAAAACCATTGGAACCATCATTTTGCTATTGCAGTAGTGATCGCCAAAAACTCATCGTAAAGCAATTTTGACGTCATGCGGGGTAAGCGTCAAGCGGGGCACCACTAGCTAGATTCTGGAAAGATAAAAATAATATTAAATTAGAAGACTGGTATAATGAAGTATGGGACATTGCATTAAATGATAAATTGACTACTGAACTGAAGATGTGAAGAGGGGAAATAAGTTCAGATATTTTTTATGCTATTTGGGGTAGATTTGTTGAATTTGTATTAGTAAAAGAAAATGGGAAAGCCTTTAAACAACAATCAATACAATTTTGGAAAGGAAGTTCGTATTAAAAGTATTGTTCCAAGGGGTCCCGTGAGTATGGGGTGCACGATGGTTTAGAGTGTATAGTAAGTATTTTGTATTTTGTACTTGTTTTGAAATTTTAATAACAACAACAACAACTGGGGGAAAGCAAGCTCTATCACCAGCTGATAATGGAGCTTTTCTTGTACCAGCTAACGCAGTTGGGAACAGTTCAAAAAGTCTGATAAAATGGCTGCTGTGAAGTGACCATTGTGGAATGCTTTCATCTCAGCTAACTGAGTGGAATAGTCCTGCTTCCATTTTCTCTCTCTAATTATAACCTGGTATTTAAACAAGAGGAAGCCTCATCCATTACCTGCATCATTTGAAAAACTATTTCCAGTATACTCAGGATTTCAGTACCTGAATAGTTTAATTTCTCTGTTTCCTACTTAGTTTTCATCTCACATGCATCTAACTGAGGCTGAGGGATTAAATCATTATGCTGCCCCATGAGAATGTGTTTGGTAGGAAAGATTTCCTAGATCAGAGAAGCATGAAGCGGTACCTCCTCCAGTTAATGACTTCTCCATATAATACCTTGATATTTTCTTTTCGAAATCACCCTGAAAGTCAAAGCTTTCAAGAAGAATGCAAATACAGATCATCTGTATTCCCCTAATAAACATCTGTCTCTTTCTAAGGTGATTACAAATTCTGTTCTTCAACTATCACGCTGAAGGAGTGTAAGCAAAGTGAGAAGAACGAGATGGTCGGCAGGGTAACAACCTCCATGGCTCATAAACCAGATGTTCCTCATGAGAAACATGACGCTTTACAGCAGCCAGAGGTCTGCTCTGAGCCTGAGAAAATTCCTGCAAACCCACTGACTCTGAGGGTAAAATATCAAAATGTTTTCTCTGCTAATTCTTAGTCCTGCGATGGTTATTTTCCTGGAAACCCAGTGGGGGTGTGTGTTCTTTCATTCCTTCTTTTTTAAATCAGCAAAACAGTGAGGTCGCTTGGATTTAATCCTGATTATTTGAGAACCACATTGTTTGTATGAAACAGAGATCATGGGACCTGGGAGTCCGTTGCAATTTCACTCAGTGTCCTGAATGCCCCCTTTAAATCATTGTTTCTAGCCCAAGCTTATAAACTGTTGCTACTTGTCAACTTTTGCACTACTCCCATTATCACATTATATTATATTATCCTCTTCCTGATTTTTCAAATAGCTGCACCTTAATTCTTAGTAAGCCCACATGCTTTTGAATTTTATCCATGCAGATGGCTCTGACTGAGAGATTTGGTTTATCTCTAATGCAAAAAATCACTTACTTGCTGATAATTTCCAGTAACGTGCATAAGATTTAAAAGCAATCCATGTAATACTATGACTAATGCCTGTGTTTCCAGGATGCCTACGCAATTTCTGTTGGATTTGTGTGGAAGGGTAATGTTCCATTAAGCAATAAAGAGTATTCTGATTAAAATGGGGGAAAATAAGAATATTTAAAAATTAGAAGGTAAACATGGAAAGCTGGAGGTTTGAGGTTCACCATTGTCGCTTTCCCTAGTGTCCCCTGTGTGTTCTCCCTCACCCACAGGTCTACCTTCAGACACGATGTACTATTTTCTCCCTTTACATGCTGCCACCAGTGGATCTTTATTCACAAAATACCAAATAGGTTTCTTAGACCCGGGCTGCCAAATACCACAGGTTTATTTATTGTTTGATTGGTAAATCACAGAAGTAAAGTCTTTTATTGTTCAATCATTAAACTTGGATAGGATTACATGTTCGCTTGTTTGTATTCATTCACATTAACCCCTGTAACAGTATCTTATGACTGTCTATCTATTTTCTATTACTGTACTTTTGTCTTTCATCTATTCTCTAACACACACCAACTTTCCAATCCCTGTCTTAACACTTCAAAACCTCTTCTCTAACTCTCCTCAGTCTCCAACTGTTCTCCTGACTCCGCCCCTCCTGTCCTGCCATAGGCTGCTGCCCTAGAGCTCCACATGACTGACAGGCTTGATTTGGGCATTCCGTCACAACCATCTATAGGTAAAAAAAGGAAGAGATCAGACAAAGTTGGAGAAGGAACACACAGGGAGCCCTAAGTAACTGTTACTATCACTGTCACTGCTTACAGGCACATGAGCCCAAATCCAGTGTAACACTAGAACAATATAAATTCCTGCTTGTCTATTTGCATTGTGTAACAAGTTGTATGAAAGATTGTGAAGTGGTTGCACAAGGACTTGTAGAACTCTTGTGCAGCAAAATTGGTATTGGATATCACTCTTAGTTACTCACTAAAAATGTGTATCCACTAGAAGCCTTGCTGTAGCCCAGTGACATCACTGGATCCAGGTCATTGTTCTTAGTGGAAGCATCACAGCATCTTTTCCCATTGCCATCAAGTTTAGTGTACAATACATTTGGCATGTAATTTTTCAGACAGAGACTATCTCTTGACTGAACCAGCTCCCTAGTAGTGATGAGAACAAAAGTTCTTTGAAAGGAATGCCTTCACCTACATTAGACTACTTTTTGTGTAACTTCTTCTTGAGTCTGAGGCAGATAAAGGAAAACCTCATTTTTGTCATGCTGGTTAAGGTGCCCTGTGATTTGTAGTTCAAAAAAGTAACTTTCCTGCTTCTGATCTGAAAAACACCTACACTTGAAAAGTTATTTTTATGACAGGCCACTTGTTCCTTGGTCACTGTTCTTAGCAGGCTATGAAGATGTCCTTGAAAACTAGTGGGGGTGCCCTTCTCCTCCTTATAGAGACATCATCCAGCAGGATAATAACAACAATGTTAGAACTGCAGAGCTGGGAGGGACCTGGATGATCGAGGCAGTATTTGTGTTGCTGTTGTTTAGTCGTTTAGTCGTGTCTGACTCTTCGTGACCCCATGGACCAGAGCACGCCAGGCCCTCCTATCTTCCACTGCCTCCCGGAGCTGGGCCAAATTCATGTTGGTCGCTTCAATGACACTGTCCAACCATCTCATCCTCGGTCGTCCCCTTCTCCTCTTGCCTTCACACTTTCCCAACTTCAAGGTCTTTTCCAGGGAGTCTTCTCTTCTCATGAGATGGCCAAAGTACTGGAGCCTCAGCTTCAGGATCTGTTCTTCCAGTGAGCACTCAGGGTTGATTTCCTTTAGAATTGATAGGTTTGTTCTCCTTGCAGTCCAGGGAACTCTCAAGAGTCTCCTCCAGCACCACAATTTTAGTTGTTTTAGTTGAGGCAGTTTTAGTTCTGAATAAACCCAGTAGTTTATTTGAATAGTTCTGAATAAACCCAGGCTATAAATTGATTCCCAGTGTAGTGTAAAGCAGAGGTCCACGGCCCAGTGCCTGAGCTGGACCGGGCCACCAAGACAGACCTCCCGCCCCACCCCACCCCCACACACTCTACCCCAGACAGCCTGTTTGCGCCTGCGTGCGCGCTCCTGTACACCCATGTGAGCACCTCACCACTGTTTGCACATGTGCACAAGTGCAAGCGCCCCAGACCAGTGCTGCGCCGCTATTTGCACATGTGCACGAGCGAGCAAGCGCTTATGTGATCACCACATCACTGTTTGCATGTGTGTGAGAGTGCATGAGAGAGAGAGCGCTTGTTCATGCATGCACATGAGCGCGGGGGTGCCCCCCATCCAGCCAGTCCGCAGACCAAAAAAGGTTGGGGACCACTGGTGGAGAGGATAGAGTGACAGACTCTGGAAAACAAGCTTTGAATCCCAACTTGGCAATGGAAATTTAGGAGTGGAACTGGTGAAACCTCTCCCTAAATATTTCAATTATCTTGAAAGCCCAATTAGGGTCGCTATAAGTCAGTTCTGACTTGACGTTGCAGAACATACACATAAATCAGATTAAAATTGATCTGAATAATCAGTTCTAAAAGTGCCAAAAGCATACATCAGATGTACCTGGAGCTGATCCACTGCCATCTACCAAAGGTGAAATGGAGGTTTTTGTGTCCCTTTGATGTTCTCATCTCTGTGGACTATTTGTTTGTTTTAATGCCAGTTCTCTCTCCTCTGTCACCCCTTCACCCCATATGAGGGATTACACAGAGGACATGATGGTACTACAGTATCATGTGGCACATCAGATTGGCTACATAACATTGTAAAGAAACCAATTTGCATAAGAGCAGACCTTCTTTATATACATTTTTTTTAAAAAATCATTAGAATGCACAGAACAACCAGATCAAACTATCATAGAAATAAATACAACAAGAATTTTTTAAAAGAGTTGTTTCAGGCACAGTCTTCGCCTACACATTAGCAGCAGCCGAACCAAACGGACTCACATTTCTTTCATACAAAACTCAACTCCTGGCTACTCCAGTCATTCTGCACTTCAGTAATCTAATTTAGGTGGGAAAAGTAACCTGCTGTTCATGAAGTAATTCAAAGTCAGAACTTCTTAATGCTCTACTGAAAATAATACACATACTTACTGGTAAATCCTGATTTATCATCCTAAATTACTTTTTGCTCCCTACTGTTGTTAACTACATTGAGAAAGGAAGACAGCAGGAAGCACATTCCTTCTGTCCATGGAGGATACATGTTTGATACACCCCCATGTTTGTTTCTTTGGGAGCTAAGGAGTCAGCAATTCACTCAGCTGTCTTTGACCTGATTCATGCAGTAAGTCACAGATTTATTATTAGGAGCTCTTCACTGCTGAAGGTGTGCTGTTTAGTAATTGTTTTCTGAAGATGTTAAGGAGGGAACACTACCTTGCTAAAGGGATAGAATGGTTTAGATTGTTGCATCAGATATACACTTAAATGGCCCTACTTGCATGCCAAATCTGAATTGTCTGGGTGAATTTTGATACTAGACAAGTTTTATTAATATTGTCCTGATATAGTATATGTAGAAACAAAGTTATTGATTGACTTTCTCTAGATCATTTTGTATCAAAGATGATATAAAGTGGGTGTAGCAGAGGAAACAGAAAGCCTGACTGGATCCCCGTGAATCAGTGCCTTGCTTTGGGCAGAACACAGTTTTGCTGAGCTGAGCCTACAGTCTTGCTCCACATATTTCATCAAGAAAGAAGCCTTTGCATCCTGCCAAAACAATGAATAGACAGATCTATGGAGGTCCAATCTGGTATTTTGACTTCAGAGAGAGGAGAGATTGTAAACCAGTACCTTGATGGATTTATTCAAGGATAGTGGACACCACATTTGAGACGACTTCTTCTTATTATTATTATTGTTATTATTGTTATCATCATCATCATCATCATCATCATTTGCTTCCTCTCATACTCTCCAAATTTTATACCACCTTTACCTGATAAAGACTTCTGAATAATGTATTCCCTAAGGCTTTCACGGCCAGGATCTAATGGTTGTGGGTTTTTCGGGCTCTTTGGCCATGTTCTGAAGGTTGTTCTTCCTAACGTTTTACCAGTCTCTGTGGCCAGCATCTTCAGAGGACAGCACTCTGTGCTCTGATGAATACCTTGAAAGGTTGCCTTACTTCTAACTTTTCATGATTCAGTAAAATCATTGCTCAACCTACAACTCTGATAGTATCTCAAGATTTCTTTTTAAATACTGCCATGAGGCTTTCTAGTTAAAAAGTTTGAAGAAGATTGCCATGTAAACAGATTCCAAAGGGAAACTCTAGCATCCCATTGGTTTGAACAAAGACAGTTAAAGCAAGCCCGTTATGTATATTAACCATCTCATCCATGCACCATTGTCTGTACTGCTGTTCTACAGCATAAATTATTTCCCTGAAAACTCCCAGAAGCCTTCACCACTAGCTGTACTGGCCAGGATTCTGGAAGTTGTGGTCCAAGAACATCTGGAGATGAGAAGCAGTGCTCTGTACATTATAGAGTACAGTGCTCTCTCACATGGAGAGCTCAGTCCTATTCCCCAATGTGCTTCCTGGTAGAAAGAGCCAGTCTGTGTGACTTTTGGCAAACTGTACAGTCCTAAGTGGCCCCCAGAAGAATGGAATGATAAATCAGTACTTTACAAATAAGGCACCCTGGTAATAGTTGCCGTAAATTAGAGTTGACTTTACAGCACATAATCAGTCAATCAACATATATCTATATAACACATATAACAACGTAATAACTTTCCTAGACAGAGTGGACGAATCCAAAGACGAGATAAAGGGAAGCTGTGGGCAGAGTTCAGTTCACAATCAAACAGTTCTATTATTGTCCATAGGTTGTTATAATGTGCAAGGTATCCTATATCTTAATTATTTTTTTCTTAGTGGGGCATATGTGTCAGGTCTGCTTTAGCACAGTGGCTGATCATTTTCTGAAGTTCACAACATGCTGTCAGCTCATTTCATGCCAGTAAAGAAAGATATTTAGTCCATTGGTAGATGGCAGGTGTTCCAGTTTTTCAGTGTTGCAGAATGATGATGCTAAAAGGGCATGTAAGCTTCGTTTGATCTGTCAAGGTTCAAGGTGCCCCACCACCAAAAATTATTACTATCAGAACAGAGGCAAATAAGTTCCAATGGATCTGGGGACACTGTGCGCCCAACCCACTATGGACTATGCTGCTGCTTATACCACTGAAATTAAGCATTTGAGCAGAATACACCTTTGGACAGTGCTGTTAAGTTTAAAACAAGATTCACACACCCCCTCACATGTCGTTCTAAAATAGAAGAGCTTTGTTTAAAGCTGGGGTCCCCAACTCCCGGTCTGCGGCCCAGTGCCAGTCCATGGGCTTCCTCAAACTGGGCTGTGGAGATGGATCTCTGCCCCCCCCGCACACACGGTGAGCATGTCGTACTTGCAGAGAGGCATGTCACGTGCAAGCACAGCACACCCCTCTGTGAGCATGACACGCCCCTCCACAAGTGCAACACATCCTCCCATGAGCATGACACGCCCACCTGCGGGCACGGGGGTGCCCCTGCACCCCCCAACCGGTCCTCAGTCCCAAAATGGTTGGGGACCACTGATTTAAAGGATAGTTTGCCAGTGTCCCTCAGATTTGGCAGAGTGATAACAAAATCAAAGGAAACACTTTGATTTTGCTAACTGCAGCCCTTTGAACTGACAGTGCCAGTAGTGAGGTGATCCTTGGGGAGGTCATAAAACCTATGGATTGCATATTGGATGAGTGGATGATGTCCTTTGACTTCCTCACCCTAAATGATGTCACCTTCCCATTTTTTTTAGGAGGCTTTGGAAGTTCACAAACCTCACTTCATTTCTCGCTCACAAGAACGGCTGAAGAAACTTGAAAACATGAAGCAGATGAGGAAAACCCAGCAGGGAGATGCTTCAGGAAAAAAGCAAGCTGTTCTTTCTCGCAAACTATCTTCATCTTCCATTACAAGTAAGAAGAAACAATATACAGTTCCACACCCTCTCAGTGGTAAGTTGCTCTATGGTGCCTTCACCAAATGTGTCACAGAATTTGATGAAACACTCATGATTCGTTTTTGTAACCTGGGGTGGAAATAGTCCAGTTTGGAGGTTTTATTCTTTCACTGATGTAATCTGAGGTGTGATTAAATGCCAAGTTCATTTATCAATCTGCAGTTCTTCCCAAACCTTTGCCAGTATGTCTCTTGTGTCTCCTTTTCCCAGTTGCACCATTACACAAAAGAGGCTAATTATTTCACCTCACTTTATAGCATATTTTTAAGTAGATGATAATTCCATGCAAACAACTGTATTGTCTTACAGATGGATAGTTGTGGTGATCTCAAGCAGCAAAAATAATTCCTTAAAAACTAACTGGTTTATTATGAATTTTTGCAAACTGTATTCACTTTGTTAGATGCATGGAGTTCTAGCCCCAATTTCAAGATGGCTGATTTGAACCTATGGAAGTCCAGATTATATTGTCTGAGGGGCAGTATATTTCTGTTTCATAGCAGGTATAAAAACATGTACACTGTGCTTATTTTTAACATTTATAATCATATAGTTTCACATTCTTCAATACATTAAATATTTTTATAAATATTCTTGCAGATTTTCAGTCATAACAACATATGCTCAGAATAAGTCAAACGTAACATAACATAGTGGTTATTTTGTACTTTTCTCATTAATTTCTTTATTTGTAAATATTGCAGACAAGTAGATGGATGTCCTCTTTGGTATCACATTATATTGCGAACAGTTCACATACATGTGGGCTATAACATATAGCCAAATTAATCATAGTCTTATAAAATATGAAAACTATAACATACAAACTAGTTGCTTCTTGAATATTGTAGAAAATTGGATAGTATAGCCTTCATGGCCTATGATTAATAATATTTAACTTATTGATCACCACACTAATCTCTTCACTTTTAATAGCATTGTTACCATTGAATAATCCAAATAAATTGACTATTCAATATGGAAATTGCCATTATAGTTAAGTGCTTAGTACTTCTATAAGTTTTTGGAAATGTCATTGGGGTTTCTTTTTCTTTTCAGCTAACTGGGTGATGGCCGTATTTTTACTAATTCTTGTAATTATTACATAACTCCAGGTAATGAATACTAAACTAATGAGGAATATGATCTTGTAGCTGAACATGATTCAACAGCTATTGTTTGCCTGCCATTCTTTTTCTCTGCCCTCCTTGTGCAATCTTCTACTTTGCCTTTGGCCTACAAAACGTGCCATAATAATATTTCACCATGTCTATCCAGTTTCATGGAATCATAGAGTTGGGATGGATCTTGAAGACTGTTTAGTCAGATATTTTGTTCAGTGAAGTCTGCAGTTATAGCATCCCTGGCTGATTGCCAGCCAGATTCTGCTTAAACACTTTGGAACTCATCACCTCTCAGGTGAATCTGTTTCACTACTGACCAGCTCCCACTGTTAGGAAGTTCCTCCTCACATTTAACCACCATTTTACCTCCAATTTCCAGCCTGTGGTTTTAGTCCTTCATTTCTGGAACAAAATAAACCTGCTCCATCTTTTGCCTTTTAGAGATTCAATTCCAGCTTTCTCTCAGCGCACAACGTCTAACATGATGCTTGATAATAGCTATCAAGTCTCTCCTCAATCTTCTCCAGGGTAAACAACTTGAGCTCTTTGATCACAGCTGTTTCATAGTATTTGGTTTCCAGATTCCTCACCATCCTGGTTGCTTATCTTTGGATGTGTTCTAATTCATCAAAGTTGTTCTTAAAATGTTCCGCCCCGTAACTGAACACTTTACTTCAAGGTTTGACTTAGAGTAGAACTATGAGTGCCTATGACCTAGACACTATGCTTTTGTTAATGCAGCCCAGATTGCATTGGCTGTTTCAGCAGCTATGTTTCTTTGTTGGATCATAATCAGCTTGTGATCCTCTGGAACACCTGTAGTCTTTTAAAGTGTACTGGTACTAAGCCAGGTCTTCCCCCAAGCTATAATTCTCTGTTTACCTAAATATAAGACATAACATTTATCTCTAGGCCAAACTGTACCTTACAAAGAGCATATTATTAGAAGAAGGAATCCCTGAAGTGCTGAAAGTGTCGGAGCAGGAGTTTTTTTAAAACCTCCTGCCATTTGCAAATTAGCTTTCTTTCTTTTGTGATTGGTGGTCTCAACATAAACGCAGGCTTCAGCTGCAGGACTGCTTTCACAGACATAGACAGCTGTCAGAATTACATCCCTGGAATGCAAAACATGATTTCAGAATGATGTGTTTTCTGTAGAGATTGACCTTATGTTCTATCTCATGTTGTTAGTTTTGAACCACTGTTCGAAACTTTTTTACAACTTGATCTTGTCTTCCATGGTGTTGGCTGTACTGCTTTTTTCATATCAGCAGATCTTCTGTACTTATTCAGGTCAATTATAAATATGTTCAACAGCATAAATCCCAAGACAAAGCCTGTGCCATTCCACCTAAGAACTCCCTCAAAGATAAGGTTGAGTCAGTAGGACTCAATGAAATCCTGTTGTGCTGTTACACAAAAGACATAATGCAGAAGTAGTCCACCAGTCCCTTCTGGTGGGGGCACCCTGGGACTGTGCAGCTTGCCTAAGACCACCCAGGCTGCCTCTACTCACAGAAGGCACAGTGGAGAATAGAACTCCCAACCTCTGGTTCCACAGCCAGATACCTAAACCAGCCAAGAAACTTTTTTCATAATTCATCTACCTCACCTGGTTCTTCATAAAAAGTATAATATTTTGTTCATGAGGTTTTAACTGCTCCTGGAATGCGAAAAGCTACTGTATCCATTAATAAACAGATGTCTTCAGCATTGTGCTCTTACAATCATCATGGCTGCCTCCCTGAATAAGAAACAATTGCTTCTATTTTGCACGCATCTTGAGGTGCAGTGTTTGATTGCTTGGTCATTCATTAAGTTTTTCCATCAGTACATAAAGAGTCATATGCAGCAAATGAAGAAACAGTTTGAGCACCTACTGTGCAAACAATCAACAATTCATTGTACATGTCCCTCTCCTTTTGTTTTTGTTTTTCATTTTTTTAATTTTAAAACAAAAACAATTACAACAATGTACATAAAGAGTCATATGCAGGAAATGAAGAAACAGTTTGAGCACCTACGGTGCAAATAATCAACAATTCGTTGTACATGTCCCTCTCCTTTTGTTTTTCATTTTTTAATTTTAAAACAAATACAATTACAACAACAAAAATAGAAAAGTACAAAAATACAAATAATAGTGGCAATTGAGACTACATTCTAACATGCACCCCATACCACGGGACCCCATTGAACAATTTTTATTGCAAATTTCCTTTCCGAAATTGTATAGATTGTTGCTTAGAGGCTTTCCCCTTTCCTTTCACTAATACAAATTCAACAAATCTACCCCAAATAGCATTAAAAATATTAGAACTTATTTCCCCTCTTTTCATCTTGAGTTCTGTAGTCAATTTATCATTTAGTGCGATGTCCCATACTTCACTATACCAATCTTCTAATTTAGTATCGTTTTTGTCTTTCCAAAACCTAGGTATTCTAGCAGTTGTCATAAAATTGTTGATCAGTTCCTTCAATTAATAATCCAAATCTACATTGTCAAAAATTGACAATAAAGCAATTTTAGCATTAAATTCGATATCTTTTCCAAATATATCATGTTTCCTTAAAAATTAGTTTCCAAAATTTCTTAACATTTTTGCAATCCCATCACATATGATAATACTTACCAATTTCCTCATCACATTTCCAACAAGCTTTAGGGTATGTTGAATTTGTTATATTCAATTTTACAGGAGTCAAATACCATCTTAAACAGATTTTTTTAAAAAATTCCTTTATTCTTATTGACATTAATCTTAAAACTCTCATCCTCCACATTTTTATCCAATCCTCTGTTTTAATTTCTGTCTTTAGGTCATTTTCCCAAATTAATTTCAAACCTTCTGTTCCCCATTCTTTTTCTTCTTGTTCCAAAATGATGTTATATATTCTACTTACTACTCTCTTTATCATTAGATCTTTCTGCATATCTTCATGTGATGACAGAAATTGTTCGTACTTAGTACATTCTCTACATTCATCATTAGTCTTCAACCAATCTTTTGTCCAAGTATCTAACTAAATAAAATTGTACCATAATAGTTTATTAGTTTGAAGTTTAACCATAATCAATTCCTTCGATCTCATTTTACTCATCCAGTCCTTCAGTCTTGCAACACTTTTGTCCTTAAACAATTCTACTAAAAACTGAAGGTTTAAGACATTAACACAAGTGTTCATTTGTTAAACAAACCCACTAAAGAATTGGAGGTTTGTGGTTGCTTTGTCTTGCAATTGACTAGAATTAATTTTGAACTATGATTCTTGGTTCCTCAATGGTTTGTCACTTACCCTGAACATCGATGCTCCCATCTCACAGATCATAGGTAGTCAGCTCATTCTTGCTTACAGAGATCCAAAAAGTTTGCTCTCCAGGAGCAACAGACCACACCACTGAGCCATAGACACAAAACCAGACCCTGTGATAGATTCAGATATGATAGATTCAGATATGAATTCAGTCACAGTATTAGCTCCAGAAACACTACTGCGGGAGTTGATAATGTTATCCACACCATCAAGGGTTCATATACTTGCTCATCTTCCAATGTGATATATGCAAAACAATAAATGTTGTTGTTATGTCCCATCAAGTCACCTTCAACTTATGGTGACCCTAGGAATGAGTGACCTCCAAAATGTCCTTGCATTAAGAGCTCTGCTTAACTCTTGCAAACTCACGGCCATGGAGTCAATCCATTTCATATTTGATTTTCTTCTTTCCCTGCTGCCTTTGACTTTTCATAGCAGCAATATGGTGTCATCTGTGTATCATAAATTATTTACATTTCTTCCACCCTATTTTCACTTTTCCTTCATCTGAATCTAATGCAGGTTTCTGTGTGATGTGTTCTCCAAATAGATT